ATGCCCCTCGTCGCGTGTCATTGGGGTGCCTGCCACGCTGCGTGCCATGCACGAGAGCCATATCTTTACCCCTTGAAATATTGAAAGAGCTCGGCCAGCTGCCAAAGTTGAAAGGAGGTGGAATTCTTGATCGACACTTAGAGGCCATCAAACCCACGAAGTCAGACTGGGAGGCCATCGAGTCGGCGCGGGGGCGACGAAAGCTTTCCGGCACCTCTTCCTTCGTCGCACCCACCAGTGTTCGAGTTCAAACGTCTAAACCCGCTGCTCTTGGCAGTTCGTTGCTGCATGTGGAGTACTCGTAAAACTGAGCATGGGCTGCGGCCGTCTCAGGAGCATATACCCGCCACCTTTACGACTACCGTGTGCATTTCGAGCTACATGTAGACCAAAGACGCGCCGCATGGAATCCGTTGGACAAGCACAGTGAAGATGCGGGTCCGGTGGTAGGGTGGTGGGCTTTGCTTGAGGGGAGTGCGCCGTAGAGCAGGGAGGTGGTCCGGCATTCAAAGAGCAGGGTGGAAGGTCGCAATGTAGCTACGACAGGCGTTAGATAGAGCGGGGAGGGCAATCACGCCGAACGTGACCCTTGTTTGCTCCGGTGCGTCATTTTTTCAGGCGATACCGCGTCTGTATTTAACTCTACCCTATCGTGATCTGCGGTACGTCAATATTCCAGAGGTCTCTGTTGAGCGACCTTCTATTATTACACTCTGTTTTATGAACACGCTGCTCTCAAGTGTCAGGCTGAATCCACCCAGGAAAGAAAAAAGTCCTCCGAATGGGGCCCTCGGCGTAGAAATAAGAACAAGAACCCCGTGTATCATACGGACATGCCTGCTCGAAATAAGAACTTTGAAAATAAGAACAGGTGCTCAATTTGAGGCAGCCAATAAGCATCGAGCCTTGGCCACCACTTTGTAAGCGGTTCTTAAGTGCGGGCGCCATCTGAACTTCCAGACTCCCTCACATGATTAATTGGTGCGTACTTCACTTCGTATCGTATCCGCGCTGCTTAAGGTTGCTCTGCTTTTTTTTCGTTCTGTTGTCTACAAGGTCGACGGGACGGTTGTTGTGTGAGACTCGAGTCTACGGCGCACACGGCCTTTTCGCAACACGAACACGTCGTGTCTGCTGCCCCGCCACATCGACAGGAACAAAAATATGCGGGGGTTCCAATGCAACCAAACCCGTGACACGCATAATCGATATCCCGATGTGCCCATCATCAGCGAATGGACGCCCGCACGGCCACATCAAGTAAAAAAAAATCTACACCAAGTGCTTGGCGCCGGTGGCTAGTTGTACTCCTTGACGACGCTTCCTGCGATAACCATGTGCTGGATTTCGGAGGTCCCTTCGTAGATTTCGGTGATGCGGGCGTCTCGGTAATGGCGTTCGGCGGGCATCTCTGACACGTATCCTGGCAGCAGACACACAATCGGGCAAGCGGAAACACGGGACGGGGCGAGTCCACAACAAACAACGCAATGAATGATGTTTGCGCAAGAACCGCGGTCTTCCCACGAGGTAAGCTTGCATGCAAACGACGCTTGCAAAGGAAAATGGCACACTCGCTAACCCCTGTATTATAGTCAAACTCGCCAAGCTCTGTAGTCACTTCCCCCAGAGCAGCATTGCCACGGATACAGATCCTCTGCTGCTCTTAACCCACACCAGCCTACGGAGTCGTTTGCTCTATCTCTTGACGAAAATGAGTGGTTGGCGCACTCACCCATTCCTCCCAAGACCTGAATAGCCTGCGGTGGTCCGTGTTGGAGTTCGGGACGGTTCGGAAAATTGCCCCGCAGCGGAGAGGGGGCGGCAAAACGGAAAAGGACACGCGTCAGTCGGAATAGCGAGATCAATCTGATCGAGACGGTCAAGAGGGCGAGGATGCACCATGCAATGTCAATTTCAGGGGGAACCTGCCACCGCTGCCGTGAACGAGAATGCACGTGCATGAAACTGGACAGTCTTGCTGCCGTATTATCGTATGATCAACACCAATACTGACAGTCCTGGGACTTGTCTGCAAGCGCTAAGAGTATACCGTCATGACGGCAGCGCAACACGGAGACTCCTAACGAAACACAACGGTGTGTGGATGTCAACAACGACGGGTGCGTGCATAAAGCGGTAACCCCTCAAGCACGGGCAACAACATTGGCGCACGTGCTAGTCAATATGAACAACCGTATTGTACCGGAGCATGACCTACCCGTTGCAGGCATCGAGAAGCGCGATGGTGAGCAAATGACCGCACGACTCAAAGGGTCATATCTTCCAACTCGAACTTCGAATCTCGGAAATTAGTCGGTCTCTTGGTCTCGCTCTAATAATAGGTCTATAGTCGGTCTGTTAGTGACCCGATCACTCGAACCAGCGCTCGACTAACCAGAGGGCGAAATAGCCCGTAGACGCCAACAGTCACTAGCAGACCTGAACCAACGCTCGACTAATCAGAGGGCGTAAAAACCTGTAGATGGGAAGAGTCACTACCAGACCGAAAGCAGACCGAAACAACTACTGCTCTGAACCCTACCCTTTCACTCACCGCATGCGAGCAGAAGGTAGCTGTCTCGGAGGCAAAGAGCTTGGCCATCGCCGCCTCCTTGGTGTAGTTCTCTCCGGCATCGCGGGCCGCCGCAGCCTTCCAAGTTAGCAGACGGGCAGCGTCAAGCTTCATGCTCATCTCGGAAATCTTGCTCTGGTCAATAGCAGAATAAGGGACGGTTCATGTGGCGGGGAGGCGGGGTTGGAGGTACACAAATAAGTTGTGGTGCTGTTTGTTCGTATTTGCGGCCACATGCTTGACGGGCTTGTCCGAGTACAAGCTGCAGATACAGAGACACACCTTCGGTGCACCATTGTACGACACCTATGGTTGAAGAGGAGCACAACACTCTGCATCGAAAGAAGAAGCAGAAAACAAACGCGAGGAATCGGAAATACAACTGCTTCTACCTCATCCTCCCAGAAGACGAGCATTGCGTGGCAAATTGCTCCGGCTCGGCCAGCCCGTGACATCCCTACCTGTATCGCGTAAAGGCCGCAGATGGGCTGTCCGAACGACTTCCTCTCCATGGAGTACTTCACGGCGCAGTCCAAGCTTGCTGCGGCAATTCCCAGAGCCTGGCGGAAGAATCACAGCGAAGCAAGAGGCAGCGCTTTAAAAAAAGTGCATCTAAGTTCAAGTCGGAAGAGGCTCGAGTTCTGTGCCTCTTACTTCACTAAGGGCCAAGCACTGCTGCACGCGTCAGAGTTCTGCTACTTACTACAAGCGACCTTTCATCATGCTGCACCAGACGCTAACACGGCTTGTACAGGTTTAGTCTGCCGGCTATCAGCAGGAAGCAAGAGAAGTACCCGAGACACCGTGGGAACACCTGGAGTGATTTGATTCACCTGCCCAGCGATCCCGATTCTTCCCGCGTCTAGAGTTCCCATGGCAATCTTGAAGCCCATCCCCTCTTCCCCGAGCAGGTTAGCCTTGGGGACCCTGCAGCCCTCCATGATGAGGTTAGCGGTGGAGGACGCCCTGATGCCCAACTTGTCCTCCTTCTTCCCCAAGGACATGCCTGGGGTTTCCAACGGAACTATGAAGGCGCTGATCCCCCTACGGCAACATTGGAAAACAACAACAGCACGATGGCACCATGGTTAGTTCAGCAACGTCAAATCGCAGAACATGGCCGGTTTGTCCTTGCATTCAGAGAAAGGGGGAGGCGGACGGTGATGGCTGTGAGTTCAGTCTCCTCTTCCGCAATTTATTGTCGAACAGCATGACGAGCGCACTTGATAAGGGAAGGGGTCGAGGAAGGTCTGGTCGGGAGGGGTCTTCATGCACCCCATCGGTGAGGGTGGTAGCGACGTCAAACCCATTACTCCCAGGAACACCTACTTAAACCACGCACACACATCTACTTGTAGTTTATGCTCCGTGTTGCTCTCCGTACACACCCGACAAAAACTCACAAGAGACGCAGTGTAGCAGGGAGTAAACAAACATCGACAGCTTCAAAAGCTGTAGCTTCTGTCAAGCCCACGATAATGGAGTGCTCCCTTTCATTCCTCAGACTCTAACGCTAGGTGGTGTTTCGCGGATCCCAGCGCAATGTTTCTCTTTTCTCGGTTGGTGATGCCGCTGATAACCACAAGGAAAAACGGCACGAACGGCCAATCGGGGCTCTGGAGGGTCTTGTGACCACTGTACTCGGCATCCAAAACGTGGCCAAACTAAAATAATCACCGCAGCATTGTCGCCTTCTTTGGCTCGCGAACGGTGATCTGATGTCGGATACCGACAGCGGCAACAAACGCACTTGAGCAAAAACACGCACATGAAAATCGCGATGCAAGGCGAGGCTCCCATGATGTTAACAGAGATGCTAGCAGTGATACCGAACGAAGAGAGAGGGGTTGACGCTTTGGTTGCTCACTTGTGCTTTTTGGAGCTGTCGGTGGTGGCGAAGACGATGGATGACTGAGCGTCGTGCGCGTTGGTGATCCAGGCCTTGGTCCCGTCGAGCACCCACTGGTCGCCCTCGAGTCGAGCCGTCGTTCGCGCCGCGCCTGGGAAGATAACACGCGACCCGCACAGACCACACCCCGATCAATTTCGGATCTCAGAAAACGGTATATCTACACCCGAACAATCAAAGATCTCTCAGAACTCGGTTCATCTACACCCGGATCAATTTCAGACCTTCAGAGCACCGTTTATCTTCACTCGGAAAAATCACACACGTCTCAGAACACGGTTTATCTACACCCCGATCGATCACAGATCTCAGATCGTGGAATATCAACAAAGCGCAGTGTATACGACACCGGGCGGTGGCGCGGTGCACGAGACTAAGTAGACAGAGGGCACGAGAAGCGATGGTTGCTGACACAGCACCAAGGTTAGCGTATGTCTCAAAGGGAGTGTTGGCTGACGGCAGTGACATCAACCCCTGAGGTCCGCCTTGCGTATGTATGCCTACAGGAACCACTCGCCACGCACAAGGCACCCGAAGCCCCAACCAGCGCTATCGTTAGCTCTTCCTCTACTTCGCAAACGGCAACCGCCCTTGAGCTGAGTAGAGCCTGGTGCGTGCCCCCGGCCTGGGGATACATGACATCGATCGACCACTCTGTCTTCATACGCCAAGTTGACCAACTCGGGCGAGAATTACCGCCGGTGACGTCGAAAACACTTCTCCTCGAATCTCGAAAATCCTCTTCCATCAGACTGCGTGATTATCACAAACACCACTGCAACATAGTCCACATTGATGTCCCACCCGAACGAGACAACCCGCCGGCGACTTCGAAAGCCCTTCTCCTCTAATGCCCGAACCCTATTCCATCCGACTGCGTGACAGCGAGCGCCAATACCACAAACTTCGAGGTTCACTTTGGTATCAGTCGAGAGAAACATGCCGTTAAAGACGGCAACCATTAGCAACCACGATCAAGTCCTCACCTGCGTCGCTCCCGTTCCCAGGCTCCGAGAGGGCAAAGCACCCCAACGACGCGCCAGACGCAAAGGGCTTGAGGTGTTCGTCCTTCTGCTCCGGGCTCCCGAACTTTTCTATCGGGGCGCAGTACAAAGACTGACCAGATTGCAATTAAAATGTGCCGGAATGAAATGGCGGGGTGCGTACGCATGTGCAGGGATGAGAATTCGTTAAGATTTGTCGAGCCCCGCCATCTCTACAACACTACGGCTTACTTTCATGAGTTGAGGCCGCCAACTGCCATGGGAAGTGCTACCTATGATACACCGCGCAACGCCCAAGAGTAAAATGCTATTACACCTAGGTTCGTTCGTGGCTAGCGCTAAGTTGGCCATGACATTCATGCAGGGGAAGACAACCCTACGTCCGTGCTCTTGCGCTCACGTTGTTGACACTCATGATCACCCCTGTGGATGCGCAGCCTCTGCTGATTTCCTCCATCGCGATCGCGTACGCCTGGAACAAAAGGAACCCAACCAGCGCGAACAACACACCGACTGACAGATGAGAAAAGCAAAGCACGATACGCAAGCTCAGCAAGCTCAAGCTCCCAGAGGCGGACAGGTCAGAGCAGCACGTCCAGGTGGGGCCTCAGGAAACCAAACTGACTGTGTAGCTAGCCCACCGTAGCAGCGTCCTGCAGTTCTAACCCTGGTGAGGCTATCGGGGAACGCAATCGTTCCTGGCAAAGCACGACGACCCCTACCATTGACATATCCAGAGCACGTACAAAGTGGCATATCCTTCACACTAATCGTCCTACGAAAAAAAATGATGCGTGTACTCGTGCCTCACTCCGTTGTTCTATCGCCTTCCCCCCTAAGAAAATACCCGAAATACATTGTAAACTGGAATGTACCCTATGAACAACACCCTATTTAGGCAACTTGTTTTCTCGGACAGGTGTACACTATTTGCGGACTGCAGCTGCGCTAGGCGCACGACACCGGCCGCAGCCGCCCCCGCTTTTCGTCGCGGAATCGAAAGGGAGACGCACTACAGCAGTAGTGTGCTTTGTCTCGTGGCATGCCGATACTTGGTTGCTTGGTTGTCGCGTGTGGCGAGCGTGTGTACATGTATTAAGAGCACGAAAAAGGAGTACGTCAGCCTCTTAGCAGAAGGTATGCATGAATGGCCTGCACTGTCAAGAACCGAGCTGTGATTGGGCGAGTCATGTGGTAGATCTCGGAGACATGACCTTCTGCCCTCGCTAGCGCTGCGCGACGTCGGTCGCGAGAGAGCGCGGCACAGCGGGAGGGCCGTCGCAAATCGGGGTTATCGGTATATGCAGATCGCGCCGCGAGGCGAGGTCTGGTGGCGGAGAAACCGCACAAAAAGGGCTCCAGAGTCACGAGCGAGCTAGGATTGCAAATGCTGGGAGCTCGTGAGCTCTCAGCCCGCAGGAAGTTTCTCTATAGGTCTAAATCCTGTTTCACACATATGTAATTTCCTTGTCCCCCCCCCCCCCCCTGTGTTGCGTTGGTGTGGACAGCCCTACAACAGAAGAGAGTCATACAGAGTAGGCGACGCAGGAAAATGTACAGATGGAGAATAGATAAGCTAGAAGTAGAAGAAACGAGGGTAGAGTTCCAAGAAGAGATGGCTTTAAACGACAAGAAACTCTCGGAGTTGATGGAGGCAATGGGTACACCGAAGGATGCCGAAGGCCGGGACCAGGCCGGGTCTAGAATCATAGAAGGGTGGGAAGAGCTGGTAAACACAACAGCAAGCAGAGTTCTAGGTAGAAAGTTGATAGTTTGTAAGAGAGCAGTGAAGTGGTGGGACGAAGAAATCAAGCAAGCAATTCGAGTACGTAGAGAGTCACACGCAAAATATGCGGCAGGGAAAACAGATGCAGGATGGAAGGAGTATGTTGAAAGTAGAATGAGGGTGAAGGAGTTGGTCGTGAAGAAGAAGAAAGGGTTGTGGGAGGAAGTAGTCCAAAAGACTAACGAAGATTTTGAGGGGGGGATGAAGCAAATGTGGGTAGGAATTCAAGGGATAGTGGGCAACAAAAGAGGGGGAGACACGGAAATAACGACACTAATATCTGCCGAGGGTAAGATGGTAAGCAGTTCTAAAGGAAAGAGGGAAGTACTAGTAGAGCACTACCGCAAACTTGGGACACCCACCACCAACGACAACTTCGACTCGGAGTTTGAGAAGGAAATCAACTCGTGGGCAGAGGAAAACGTTGAAAGATCTCAGAGGGAACGTAGTGATGTAGACGGGTTGCAGGGAGAGTTCACACGAGAAGAGGTAGAGGACTGCGTAGTGAAACTCAAGAATAGAAAAGCGGCAGGGGCTGATGGAATTGTGAACGAGCTTTTGAAACAGGGGGGGGAGGGGATGATTAACATGTTGGTCCGGATATTCAACTGGATATGGAAACACGAGTACGCGCCGAAGAGATGGAGAGAAGGAGTAGTCGTGAACCTGTTCAAAAAGGGGGATAAAGCTGACCCGGGGAATTATAGAGGGATAACCCTGTTGAGCACAGTGGGGAAACTGTTTGGCAAGATGATAGACAATAGAATGGGAGACATGTTGGAGGGGAAACAAAAGATCAGCGAAGGACAAGCTGGATTTAGACCAGATCGTAGTTGTGTAGACCATGTATATACGTTGAGTAAAATCATCCAAGGTAGGAAAGACGCCGGGCGTACGACATACTGTTTCTTCCTCGATATACAAAAAGCCTACGACACCGTATGGCGCAATGGATTGTGGAAAAAGATGTGGGACATCGGCATCCGGAGGAAAATGTGGAGGATGTTGAAAAAGATGACAGAATGCACAAGAAGTACGGTGATGTTGGATGGGGAAATTTCGAAGTACGTGGATATACTCCAAGGAGTCGCACAGGGCTGTACGATGTCACCCACTCTTTTTAAGATTTACATCAACGATTTGATAAGGGCGGTTGAAGCAGTAAGACAGGGAGTCCAAGTAGAGGGAAAGAGTGTGTCCGGACTGATGTTTGCAGATGATTTCGTGGGGGTATCCGAAACACCAGAAGGGTTGCAAGAACAAATAGATGCGGCGGTAGGATACACCCGAAAATGGAGACTGTCGGCGAACGTAGGAAAATGCGCAGTAGTGGTCTGTAACGAAGATAAGAAAAATCCCGTAGAATTCAAATGGAAATGGGGGGAGGAAGAACTACCGGTAGTAGACAAGTATACGTACCTGGGAGTAGAGATTTCGAAGGAGTGCTCATGGGACGCACACATAGCGAAGTTGATTGGGAAGGGTAAAGCTCAGATAGGCAAGATGGATGAGATCCTTACGGACCCACATCTAGACACTAGGATTAAGAGGTGTATTCTCTTGAAGGTGATTGTACCTAAGCTAGAGTATGCAGGAGAGATATGGGAAGGTAACGAAAAGGCCGTCAAGCAGCTGGAAACGGTGCAGATGGCAGCGGCCAAGAAAATACTAGGATGTTCAAGTACAACGAGCAACACTGTATTGAGAGCAGAATTGGGAATGTACTCTCTTAAAACAAAGAGAGACATGCAGAAGTTGAAGTGGCAGTACAAGGTAAGTAGAATGTCGGACGATAGACTACCAGCCATGGTTGACGAGGCAGCTTGGGGAAAAGCGACTCCAGGGAAGAAGGGAATCAGATGGGACAAGGTGGTAGAGAAGGTTTGGAAGGAGATAGGAGACGAGGAGGAGACGTTGGACACGGAAGGGTTCGGGGGGTTCAAGACGAAAGTCAAGGAGATGCTAGAGAGTAGGGAGGAGACAACCCTTCGGAAGAAGGTACGAAGCGAAGACCACTTGGAGATATACGGGAAGTTGAAAGAAGGGATAGGGATGAAGAAGTACTTGGACGGCCCCATGGACTATGCGAAAAAGCTGAAATTGCAATTTCGAGTAGGCGATCTGGACTTGCCAGAACGGAGGAAGAGGTATACCAGCCGTAGGAGAGAGGAAGAGGAGGATAGACACACATGTCCATGTGGCAAATCGGAGGAGAGTAGATCCCACATAGTTGGGGAGTGTGAGTTGTACAGGAAGGAAAGAGAGGATCTCGAGGAGGAAATGAGACAGAGAGGGTGTGACATGGACAAGTTTGGTAAATTAGACAACAGCGAAAAAACGATCGCGATAATTGGGGATAGATGGTGGGCACAAGAGGCCCTAGAGGACGGGGATAAGATGTGCAAGAAATTTTTATGGAGTTTGTGGCAGAAACGTAAAGAGCTCCCAAATGTTGGTGGTGTCTCTAGTAGGTGTAGGAACGGTGCTCCGTCTCGAAAGGGACGCGTGGTCAATGGTCAAATGACTACGGCAAGCAACAAATGAGTACGCCCCCCCCCCCCCCCCCCCA